TTTTGATGAAGTTTTACTTTAATTCCTTATGTGTTTTGATCATTCGTTCATCGTGAATACATGGGAGAAAAAAAAAATTCCCGCCATTATTTTAAGGAAACACTGGAAAAAGTAATTGATGTACGAATGACCATTCCTTTAAATGAGCGCTGCATATGTTATATTTCCCATTGTGATTTGTCTCCATTCGTTTATTTGGGATCTAGTCTGCAACATACGATGGCTAAAATTGGCTTTAGGGTTATGGACGTCAGACTAAAAGGCAACACTAGATAGATGAAAACCATCATAAGCAACATGTTTTCTGAGAGGAAGACCTGAATTGATAGTTAAAAAAAAAACAAGCCAGATGTGTTACGGCTCCCTCTTGGATGTACTGTACGAGGCTCTTTAAAGTTCTAGTCCTTTGAACCCTGCAGATTCCAGTTCCTGCTGACATCCAGAGAGCTGAACCTTCCCCAGCCGGCCTGTCTGATAGCCCTCATCATCTCCTTCAGTGGGTACTCTGAAGCCATGGTGCCACCAAACCCCCCCTGGCTGTCAGACCCACTGGGACCCGTACGGCTGCTTTTGGGGGTCCCATCATTAGAAAGTGTCTCACCCTGAACCCCAGGTCCAATCTTCTCCTCTGCCTTCAGTAGCGGCCTGGCAGTTTGTTCCTGTCTGTCACCAGCCCTGTGCTATAAAGCCTGTGTTATCTGCAGTGTTAAGTGCAGGCCACAGACGGAGGGTCAGCTTAAAGTGAGGCAGCAGAGACACCCTGTCCCGCCTGGCCCCGCCGCACACAGGAAGCGGTGCTGCGTTGGGTCCCTCTGTCTGGCCCCGGGGCCTCCCCTCGGCCAGCAACGCAGGCGCTAATGCAAGGAGACACTCGGCCAAATGACTCTCTGATTTCCCCTCAGGACTCAGACGATCCCTCTGGCCCTTGAGAATCAGACTGAGGATTTGTTCGGAGTGATTTGTTTTGTCTTGTCCCCCCCTAAACCCTGCGCAATTCCCTTACTCAAGTTCTAGTTCTCTGCTGCCAGATAAGTGAGGCCACCAAATTGGGCATTTGAGAGAAGAGGCGTTAAAGGAGCAAGAGCCCTTAGAGGATTGAACTCCAAATAAATAAATGGAAAAAAGAGCAACAAGTCACAATTTATCAACATGGAGAAGCAACTTCAATTGGTGTTTTTCCATGGACAAGTATCTGTAGGATGAATTACAGCCTTTTGTAAAAATGTTTCAGTATGCCTTGCTCATGCTTTGTGATGCCCTTAATCAACTGTGAAAGGAACTAATTTTGTGTGAGTGAGCAAGCCTCACAGTGTGTCACGTTCCCAGGCCTGTAGCTTAATTCCCTTTCCAACAGGGGTTTAATTGAGTGACTAACACACACTCAGTTAAAGCCCTTTGAAGACAAACTGCCATAGCTGACTGCCTCAGAAATCTGTTGAGAAATTAAACAGTGATGCATCAAGCTGTTTTTCTCTGCTGCTGAGACTTGGAAGATAATGAAAGTGCAGTTTGAACTCTGACGCTGTACTCAGGCTGTTTGTGTTCAACTTTAAATTACCTCGTGAAAAATAGCTTGGCTTTTATATAATGCTCACCTTCCCATTGTTTCGTTTGGATTTGACTGACTGAACGCTCATAATGTGAAGGGGAGTGGGTGCATTGGCATATTCAATGTGTAGCCTCTAGCAGATTTAGATGAGAAACTACAAGCAAGAACAGCGTTTCATCATGCACATCAGTATTTTCTGATTTCAGACAAGGGGAAAGAAAACCTCCAGAAAATATGCTAATGATTATTTTACTATTTGTATCTGCGACTACATTTCTCATAAATTCACCAAAGGTTAGCATGACATTATGCCTCCTTTGCATAACCAAATACACCATTTTAGTAAAGCGGATATACAAAACATAATTGCCATAATATTTGTTATGAAAGGAAGTGGCCTGGTGATAGAAATTAGTTAAAATATCGTTTTTTTTATTTACCCCTATAGACTGTTTTCTCAATGTGGTTGTTTCTGATACACTGAGAATATAAGAAGTGATCACACACCACACTTTCTTGTTTCATTCTAATCAGTTTTCTGGAGGTTTTTACTAAGGGGTTTGTTCATATATCATAGCCTGATATAAACCTTATTTCATGTAAACAAAAACAAAAAAATCCGGACATGTATGCAAATGAGTAAATGCGTAATAAGACAAAGTCTTGTTTGCAAATGAGTGTACTTGAAGAATTAAGTAAGCATTTAAAAGTTTGTAAAGCATGTCAGGTTTTAGATCTCTGAGATGCCTTAATTAGACCAACAACACATTTCCCCTCTAAACTTCTGGTTTCATGTACTGTTACAATGTGTAATATTTTACACACACAAACCAAATATTGGACGGAGAAATATAAAAACAATTGGACAATGTTGTTTTACATTCTCCTCTCATTAATCATCCAACGCCCACTCAGATGTATCTTGAGACCCTTTGGAGGGCTCCGACCCCTAGGTTGAAAACCAATGAGGTATAAAAACTGAATTTAGAGTCCTCAAGCTGCTAACACATTCATCCATTAACAATCATATTGCATTGTAGGCAATATAGCATAAACATGGTGTCATTTGTATGCAAACATGTTTTAAATTCTTGAATTGTACTTTTAATGGAGCATTTTCAAAGTGTAAAGGCTGTTTTGAAAACATTTTCAAACAGCGTTTTAGGAATTAGTCCCACTGTGTCAGGGTTTATGTTAGCTGAAATAACGTTTAATGACTTCTGTTGCAATAAGAATAAACGATACTTGTGGGTTATCTGTCGCCACTTTTTTTTGTTTTTTTCAGTCTCTCTAAATACACACTTCTTTTGTTTTTTTCAGAATCTCTAAACAACCCTAACCGTCACCCCCTATTAATGTTTGTTATTTTGAGAAATGAAAAAGTTCATGTGGAGGAGCCTGCTATCCGCTATTAAAAGGTGACGACAGATAACCCACAAGTACCGAATAAACTAATGAATATTTAATAGCCACATACAACTTGTACCCTAGACTTTTGGGGGCCCTAAGCGAGCTTTGGCTTGGGGGCCCCCCTCACTCACGCGTTCTCACTACACACAATGCGGAACCAACTTTTGTCTTATGATGTTAGCATAAGCACACATATTGTATAAATAAGCATGTAAACACCGTGGACCTAACATCCTCTAGGGGGGTCCTCACCTCCTCTAGGGGGGTCCGGGGGAATGCCCCCCCGGGAAGAATATTTTTTAAAATATTGAAGTTAAAAGCATCAATCTGGTGCACTTTGAGAGCAAAATGAAGAGATCTATGGATACATCTCTCAACACCCATATGAAACAGAACTGTAAACAGATTTTTCTTTATGGACATTTTACAAATCACTTAAACTGTATTCTTGTTTTGTCCTATAGTATTTCATAACTGTTTTTCATTTATTCTCTCTGGCTGTCCATCTCATAATGTTCACATAGAAACTAGCTGTCAATAGGAATATCATTCAGAAGAATTATAATTTCTTGCAAAAATCTGTCACAAAAAGAGGTTGCACATTTAAATTCAGGTGTTGTTATGGCAACGTCAGTGGCCAAACAGCCACATTTACTGCTGCAAATACGTTCAAACATGCTGTTGACACGTAAAGCAGTGGCAACTATGCCACCATTTCAGCTGACTTTTTCTCAGAAATACTGTCACATAACATCCATATATTTCAGTGCTAGGTTGATGCTTAGCTAAGCTAACTATGAAACACTTTAACTGACAGGACTCAGGATCAACTGTGTACTGTAAGGTAGCTTCTAGCTTCATGTCGAACAGTAAGTCAACATTTCCCAGAGAGCTTTCTTTGAAATCACCAGGTAACGCTAAAAAACATTACATTTAGATTGTATGACAAAGTGTTTATTTAATATATCTGGCTAGCTATAGCTACTTGCTAACGGTTTAGCTTACCCCCGCGATTCAAAGTAACGTCAACGTAGCTGTAATTTATGCTTTGCTTACATGTTCGCATAACTTGGAAGTGTACTGACATTTACATACCTTGTTTACCTGGCTCAAGTGGTGGCTCTGGGGTTGTTGTGTGAGCCACCACTTGAGAATGGTCGTATTTTTTAAGAAAATGTTTTCTTATGTCCATCTTCAAAAACTCTGAGTCCGACAGTTTATTTTAAACATTGTCACAGCTCACATGATAGGTACCTGTAACCTGTCAGCCAATAAGACAGATGTGTATTTCCATTCAACTCTGGTTGGTCTGGTGTCTTGCCTTTGTTGCATTCACTGAACACGGGAAATTACAATCCTGCCGTCCTCTCTTGTGTCATGATGAGGTTCAGGTAAAGCACGGTTAATGTATTATATTATTGACTCAATAATATAATACATGACTTTGAGAGTAGGCAATCTAGGCATATTAACACAATTAGCCTAATTAAACATACTTATCACGGCGACGGTGTACTGAGATTTTTTTTTTTTTTTTAGGGTGCCCCTTAGTGGCTGCGGGGACCTAAGCGGCCGCTTATGTCGCTTAATGGGTCGGGCCGGCTCTGACTTGTACAATACGACTTGTACAACTTTTCTCAATAAACGAAACTGCCTTTTTTTCCTTCTGAGAATCAGAGCAAGTTGATCACTCAATTAATATTATATCACTCATTACCTGGCCTATATATAACACCTATTCTACTCATTACGAGCCAACACGAGCACACAGTGGCAATACTTCACCATCAACGCACGTGCAACATCACGTTTATAATTCCTAATTAATGACTCGCTTTAATGAGGTGGGCTACTGCGTCCCATCTAACGGGTTATTTATAGCACTCACTTCACTAAATATAACCCTCCTCGATCGTTTGTCATCGCGTCACAACAAGCAATATTACCCCGGTGTGTGGTTATTTTCCTCTGCCAGCCTGGATGGTCGGGTTTGGGGCTATAAATGGAGGGACGCGCACGATGACTCGACACTCATCCTCCAGACCTGAGCCTGCAGGTAAGATATTATCCTTGGTCATCATTCTTTTATCAGCTTTTACTTAAAGTGTGTGTTTCTGTATGGAGAATCTCCAAATAAAATGTACATGTTTTAACTTTTTGTATGTGTTTACCCTCAGCTTGAAAAAAATGACTATTTGGTGCAACACGTGCAGATGTCATGTCACTTACCCGTGCACCTCTCATCCTCAGCACGCGGATCAGCGCAGCTCCTTCTGCAGGAGGTTCAGGTCAGTAACTCTCCTCCTCCTCCTCCTCTCTCCAACACTTTCTATATGCTCCACGTCCTCTCGTGGTTAAAATCGAGACATGGCTGTTTGGAAAATTAAGACCCTGCATGCTGCTGCCTGCTGCGCGTGCACCGCGGGGAGCATTTAATCCCGTTTTCTCCTGACTGGTTACTTTTAATGTGATGCAAAGTAATGCAACAAGATGATGCTGTTAGTGCATTTGAATCCCAATGGGTTGGATAAGATAAGAATGCAGAATCAGCCTGGAGAACACCACCAGCATTGTTAAATCACCTCGTAATAGATTTCATTGTATTGCTTTTGTCTATTGGTAACTTTTTGTTATTTGTTAAGTTTACCTCAAAGTATAAACATGTGCAAATGACTCTAAAATGAACAATTGCGTGGAATACAAATACAAAATATCAATAACATAAAATAAAGGATTTCTAGAATTAAACTGGGATTTAAAAACTTGCCTGTGAATTTAATTGGGGTTTTATAATCCCTACTTTAAATCTTGGTCTAGTATTTCTGAGTATCTCTCAAACAAAATCCAAATGAGGCTATCAATGACATCATGTTGTTTGATCATTATTATTATTATTATTATTATTAGGGTGCTGGGAGACAAACTGATTGGATTCCATCTGTGGCGTTTCTGTGTCTCTCTCTGAGGCAGTGAAGGCAGAACTGAAGCCCAGCCTCTCTTTTGTGTGCGACGCCCACGCTGAGGTCTGGCAGCTATAAAAGCCCCATGCTCTCTCTGGATGGACCCAGACAGATACTGATCACACAGACACACACTCTACTGAGACACAGCAGCAGTTTCCATAGGAACCCCTGAGGAAGAGACACCAAGCTCAATAACTTTTGATTTGCTTTTCTCTTTGGGGAGACAGTTTTTTTATGAAATGCAAGTGTGGCAGTAGAATAAACTTTGGCTCCTCAGCTTTAGTTTTCCTCAGTTTCTCTTCACACCTCTGACCTCAGTGAACCATGGTCCCTCACAGATCCACCAAAGGAGCGTCCAAAGCCCGACGGGACCAAATCAATCATGAGATCAGGAGCATGCGCGCTCTGCTGCCCATCACCCAGGAGGACCAGGAGCGTCTCTCCTACTTACACTCCATGGCCGCCATCTGTGCCTACATCCGGAAGTCTGTTCTCCTCCAGGGTGAGTTTTCACACTTCAGTCATTCTTTTATGTCTTTAAGCCTCTTAATCTGCATTCAGCCTGCGTCGCTGTCAAAGTTTGCAGTGCTGCAGGGACCATTTAAAAGATAATCAGTGACAACCTGCAGAGATGCATGGAGTGTATCCGAGGCTGAACTCACTCCTCTCTCCCTCAGGACTCCCAGCTGGAGTGAGATCACACTGCTCGGTGCCACACGAGGCCTTCCTTCCAGCTATGCACGGCTTCATCCTGGTCACTACTGCACAGGGGAGTCTGGTCTACGTGTCACAAAATGCATCTGAATATCTCGGTCTTTCCATGGTAAGTCAATTCGGACATCTTTTGATACATTAGTAGAATCTATATTTCTTTGTGTTGTATCTAATGGTGAACACTTTTTTTTCAGATAGATGTGCTCCAAGGAGACACTTTGTATGACATGGTTGAACCCTCTGACATTCATGTTGTTAAATCTAACCTGGACATTGACAGCAACTCATCCACAGGTAACTTTCAAGGCTTTGATATGTTTTCTTCAGTATTGATTTTTGTAATGTCTAAACACACTGCTGCTTCTGTAATAAAATAATTTACCAAATTGGGATCAATAAAGTATCTATCTATCTTATCTATCTATCTATCCATCTATCTAATTCTTTGCTTGCCAAATTTCCTCCAAATTTCATTCTGGTACAATCTCTAAAAATCCTTTCCTTGCATCTTTCTTTAGAGAGGAGCTTTATATGTTGTATGCAAACCTCCAAGGCCTTCAAGCTGCAGCAGGGCAGCTGCTGCTCCATGCTAGTGAGAGGGAGCTTCCAGTCTGTCCCTCAGCCTTACCCTTCCTCCTCTTCAGCCTGTCCCACCAGCCAGCCTCTGTTTGTGACCCTCTGCACCCCCACAGTCGACCGCCTAAAGAGCTGTGACTCCAGCTTCTGCCAGAGCTTCAACAGTGTGCACAGACTGGATATGACTTTCACTCAGCTATCGGACAGGTACAGTACATTCATAGATCCCCCTTTAAACAGATATACAATGTAAATGTTATTGTATTAGTGACTAACAAACATTTTCCGTGCTTTTTGTTTTTCAGTGTTCTGTATTTTTTGGGGTATTCAGCAGAAGAAATGATCAGTCGATCGTGGTACAGCCTCATCCACCCTGAAGATGTTTCTTCGAGTGCAGCTTGTCATAAAAGTTTAAGTACGTTTACAGAAAAAACAGTTCCATATCAGTGAGGACACTTTAACCATATTTAAAATATGTTTGCAGAACAGGTCAAACGTATCTGCATTTACACACAGCAAGCATACAGTAGTATTCACTTCTTCCTACTCCCTTTTCGAACATGAAATACTCTATGTTGTTGTTATTGAGAGTTTGCTGTATATGTTGCTGGTGTTCATGTTAGCTTTCTTACAAACCTATGTTGAAACATATACATATATATTAATCTAAGAAGGTTTGAATGAATGAGTATAGAAATGGCATTGTTAGTGTCTCCAATTTCTTAAGTTTTGTGTAATAAGAAATGTAAAGATTTAGCTCTAATTTCATTGTGTGCATGTCCTATTTAGTGTGCTTAATAATAACCAAAATGTTCTCTTTCCTATTTCCTTCAGTGCAGGCAGACGAGGGCTTCCAGGTAGAGGTGGTGCTCAGACTTCAGTGCAAGGATCTGTCCTGGACCTGGATCTACATCCGAGCTAACAAGGACTCTGAGAGCCAGACTGTGAGCTGCACAAACTTCATCATCAGGTATGACAAACTTACATTTTTCAGCACACCTGAGATGATGTTGTATGAAAATGTTTATAATTCAACAACCGACCTAATACATTGCTTTGCTCTTGTAGTGAAACAGAGGCTAGATTTCTTCAGGAGAAAATCAGCGGTGATGCCTTCAGGCCCTCCTCCCAGCAGGCGCCCCACGCTCAGAGCCCCAATCCAAAGTGCTTTAAAAGGCAGAGGACGTCTAACAGCCAAAGTGAGGAGCCAGGTGCCAAAGTGAGGAGGGAGTCAGAGGAAGACGTTTACTATGTGGCGTGCGCTTACTCCCAAGGCTCCCCTGTTCCCCTGGGTGACAGTCCTTCTCTCTTCACCCCCCCCTACAGCCCGGCCTCCTCCGGCTCCCCGCTGCAGCAGGAGGAGCTCAGCCGTGACCTCCTGATGGATGTGCATGGATACTCAGATCAGCTGCTGTCCTCCCCTGAGTGCTCTCCCTCCTATTACTCCTACCCAGAGGCACAGCTCACCTGTCACCAATCCCCCACCGACTCCCTCCCCGCATCCACTGAACACACCTTCGACCAGGCAGCCTTCGGCGCTCGCTCCCCGCTCCCCTCCTCGTCTCCCACCTATGATTACCAAGCGTGTACGGCCGAGGCTCGATTAGTTCCAGACTGCCTGTCTGTGTCGGACATGTGTGAAGGCTCAGTGGACTGTGCTCTGCATCAAGATGACTTTTGCCTCCTCGAGCAGCCACAGGGGGGCGGCATGGTCCAGGTGCATCATGTCCCTCAACACGTGTTGCCCACACATTCTGGCCTTCTCACCCCCAACCAGTCTCCCACGTCCACAGAGCCTAACCATTACAATGAGAGGGAGCAGGAAGAGATCAGTATTCTGGCTCAGCAGATTTCTTCCTTAGCCAGCAGCTTTTCCATGTATCAAAGCCCGAACCCGCTTCAAATTGTGGCTCAACCTTCAGTTGCTGACACCCTGCCCTCCTCCTGCGACTGGCACTGTACTCTCCCCTCAGACATTCCTCTGAAGCGCGAGATGGTCCTGGATGTCGCTGTGTTTGACAGCATCTTAAAAGACCTGGACATGGTCCCAACAAAAAGCACCACGTCTGGCCCTGGGGTTGTCCCGTACAACTACCAGCAGGGCCTGTTGCATTGCAGGAGTGAGCCCCATCAGCTGGTGCAGGGGCCCCTCTGTGTCTCCTCAAATATCGCAGAGGACCCCCTGCCTGCAGAGCAGTTCGCTGCCATGGATCCCTACAGTTTGCAGTTGGGACGCCATGACCAACACACTGGGTTGCATCAACTCAATCACTATATGCAGAGTGCACTTCAGCAAGGTGATTTATACCTCCAATACAGCAGTTAAATAATGATTTACTCTGATGTATTAACCGTACAGATATTGAAATTACATTTTATTTCTGTCTCTTTTCAGATGGACTTACTGAGGAAAACCTGTACTGAAATAAGTCTGTGACTTACTGCACTACCACTTGTATGACATATTGTCAGGGCTGGATTCGAAGATGAATGCGACGGAAGACATTTAAAGGACATCTTTGCTGGGACACTGTTTCCTCAAAGGACTACTTTCTGAATTTAGAAAAGCGTCTGAAGTAGATCATGCGCTTTTCAACACTGCAGCTTTGTCTTCATTTCTCCACACTGCTGTCGACTGTGTTTTATGTTGTGCTGATGTCTCACATTTTATGAGAAAGGTACTTTTTAATAATGTGCCTGACAACGCTTACATGCTGAAATGGAGGTATATTTTTCTTCTAATGCTGAGTGACCACAGTTTACTATCGAGCACTTTATCAATGTCATTGCCAAATTAATTTTATAAATATGAAGGTATGCTGATTTAAAGGACTATTATTGATTGGAGTTAGGTGCCTTAAAATATGTAGCTTGATGACTATGACATTAATGCTTTTATGCTGTTATGAATACATAAAAAAAGATAATGATGATTTTTACACATTACACCTACCTCAATGGTACATCTAAACACAATCCAAGTGTGAATTTCATTATTAAATTCTATTTATTTTGACAACATTTTTACTCTCGCTTAATAGTTTTTTATTCATTCCACTGATGTTTTTTCACGGCACTGGTACACCGTGTTATTACTGCAATTTGCTTGAAATGTGTAATGTAAATAAAACAAATGAAAAATGAATATGCGTTGTGTGATATGATGAGGGTATTTGAATAATCTTCGTCTACATCAACTAATTTCAATGAATGATAAGCATAACTCGCCACGGTGACTTTAACAGTAAAGCAGCCACTAGACTAATATAACACAATACCACATGTATACAGTTAGGGCCAAGATGAACCATTTAAATAAAATGAGACAGTGAAATAATTGAAAGCACATTTAAAAAGAAACTGATTCATTTGGTTATTTGTGGATATTGCAACAAGTTGTAAAAAATAGCATTTTTGACATAATACAGTAGTTTCTAATAGAGATACAGTATGTAAGCCCAATATTAACTTTATCTTTATAAAAGTTTTGGGATTTGGAGGGATATCTGCCTTTTTGATTGTTAAATGCTTCACTATTTTAAGGATGCGCCTTGTTTTTGCCACTTAGTTTTCCCTTGCTGAAAATAGTTGCCTGCTGCATTATGATAACACTGTTATATGAGGCTGGTCCTAGTAAACCAGTATTAGGCTGTAAAGCCAAATAAATGACCTGAAAAAATGCCAAGAAACTCCTCAGAGCTTCAGAGAAAAACACATTTCATATAAGTTCCACCATGAGACATTCTTAAAACAGACATATTGGTTGTTGCAGCTTAAGTACAACATATGTGTACAATTTAATACTGTTTTGTGGACTGGGAGTAAATACAGCAGGAGTAGGAGTCTTTCCACTACAAAGGTACTTCAAACAGTTATATATAACAAATGGGACTACTATATTTCTTTACGTGCACTTTCCCTGCATCTGATCAGATTGCAACGTCTCGAGCTCAGTGCTTCATTGATTTTACATCTCGTGGCTGGTCATACCAACGAGAGCACATCAACTGTATGCAGAGGAAATCAATTACTTATTTTGACAGATGAGAACAGTCAATGCATACATGAATAGCCAGACAAAGCAGGGTCCATGTGGACGAATGGGAAACAAAAAGGGGGCACTACAGTCATGCAGCTGGTGCAGTGTGTCATGCAGCCCCCATGTGTTTCTCATGCAGATTAGAAACAGCCACTAGATGGAGTAATAGCTCCAACAGCCTCCCAGCAACACAGCTATATCCATGTTATTAGTAATATTACTTGAACAAGCTTGAAAAAAGTAGAAGAGGAGCGTGTGCACGTTTGTATGAGTGTGCGCCCATGAGAGCAGAAAAAGGGCATCATTCAGTTCGCTCATGACCAAACAGTCCAGATGCCTTGTGTTATCCATGGAGACCTAATTAAGAATGATCTCTGTTGAAGGGTACAATGGAAGATACAGTTCCTAACAAGTCCCCACATCTGCTGTGCTTCAGTCTTTCTGCATCACTCAATGTTACCCAGGATGAAAATATTTTCCCCCGGGCACGGCAACACCAAGTTCGGTGCATGACGTGTTTGTCGACACCAAGGAGACGGCAGACGTCCACCTCCTCTCCTCACCTGGACAGGCTGTGAACACTCCCAACAGCCATGTGTCTTTTTACAGATTAGAGAGCATGACAGTCTAATGGCGCTTTTCCACTGCAGCACGTAGCACGGTTTAAGCGGGCCGGGCCAAACCAGGCCCGCTTTTTTTTGCTTTTCCAGTAGGGGTAGTTCCGGTTCAGGGCTACTTTTTCACCTTTTTGCTGGCCCTCCAAAATCGAGGTTCTTACAGGGCCAACAACCGGGCTGAATATGCTAAACTAGTGACGTAAACACTCTCGACTGCTGATTGGTCAGAGAGAATCGCTGGCAAGGGGGCTACAACTAAAACAAAATGAATATATTTTACCCTGATTTAATTGTAATACACGTTTCAAAATGATGCCGAAGTAACAACATACTGATATCGGTCTGCAGACAAGACGGCAGGCGGAAAACCTTTTAAAATGCGTGTTTTTCTGAATGGAGATCGGATCGATCAGGCTAAGCTAACGTTGTATATGCTCCGTCCATACTCACAACAACGGCCTACATACATAAATAAACCAGCGACCGTATTCGCCATGACACAGACAGTCTGTGGTTTGTACTTGTTTAACTTTTGTCTAGTTTCTGAACAGATATGAGGAGCTGTGAGCTCTGAGTGCTAACAGCTAACAGCGGATGTTTTGGTTTTGTGGTTCGCATTGAAGATGACGTCACGGCAGTTTTACACAGCGTTGCTCCGCCCGCCGAACAGCCGATCGCCCCGCCTACACTGCGTTACTATAGTAACTACCCCATTTACTAAACTGTAATGGAAACACAGCTTAAAGTGAGCCTGGCCTACCAAGGCCAAACTAAGCTGTGCTAAGACGTGCTAGGTCCTGCAGTGGAAAAGCGCCATAAGGCTTTGGCCAACACAGTCTCACGGCATTTCGTGTTATAGTCACGAAATTAATCTATTGATTCGTGTTCACCAACACGATTTCGCCATTTTTTTCATGTCACACAGAACGATTTTAAAAGCAATGTAAATAATAACAAAATTAGAAGGAAAAACAGATGCAAAAAAATACAGATTTCAGTTTTCTGACACAGAACGATTTTAGAAGCAATGTATTTCTATTGGTAGTAGGCTATGTTTCGTGCCTGCACCAAATAATAACAAATTAGAAGGAAAAAAAGATGACAAAAAAATACAGATTTCAGTATTCTGAGGCTCTGAGCCCCATTTATTTTCCTTCGCGGACTGCAAAAAAACTCCGACATTATACAATTTAAAATAAGAGGGATAGGGTTAGGCTTAGGGTAAAAATATTGAGTAAGAAAATGTTTTTATGAACCACACAGCTTCTGGTATTCCAAGACCCGACCGGACAAAAATACGTGTTGCAGGCACAAAACATACTACCAATAGAAATACATTGCTTTTAAAATCGTTCTGTGACACAAAACAAATTCGAAAATCGTGTTGGTGAACATGAATCAATAGATTACATTAATTTTGTGACTATAACATGAAATGCCGTGTGACTGGGTTGCTTTGGCAGTTTTCTGTAGCTGTGGAAACACGGTTATTATTAGACCCGTCGAGGTGTTTCACATAACTCATTCACACCAACGCAACTCCGGTTCAAACTCCGTGCTAGAGCTTTTCAGGTTCAGAACCGGTTCTTCGGTTTAGCTCCGGCTCTTTTCACACCGCCCAGAGTCCGACTGGTGCTGAGTCATTGCGTCATCGTTTGCGTCATGACTAACCGTTTGCGTGCCTGCTTCATAAAGCCAAACCGTGCGGAAACCCCTCACAGCTGACACCGACAACAACAACAATGGCCGATTGTTCTCCAGCTTCCTCTGTACCTCTTCGGAAGACCAGATTCCCAGTAGGTAGCTGGTCTCTTCAGTGGACCACTGCTGCTTGTTAAGTTTCTCCATCGTTGTGTACAAACTGGATAAAACGCGGCTTTTTGTTGTTGTTCAGGAGTTGATGCCGCCCCTACCCCTGCCCCCGCCTCGACGTAAGCGTGACGTATGCGGTGCTTTTGCTCTAGCCGGACAATTTTTTGGTGCTTGAAACGAACCGGATTCCAGAGCTAAGTGGCTGCTCCGCTGCGGTGTAAACAGGAAAACCCGGTGCTTTTCAAGCTCCAGCTCCGAACCGGCCCTGAAACACCGTTGGTGTGAATGAGGTATTAGAGTTCAGCAGTAGTATTACAGTAGATCAGTGGACGTTAATGTGTACATGAAGGTAAATACTTAACCCTTAAATGGACGTAATCTTTTGGAAAATTATTAATTGCTATGCTCCACATTATACCCATACTATACTGTTATTGTACCCATATTACACATTATTAGACCCCTATTACTCCGTTATTTCACTCGTATTACACCCATATTACTCTGTTATTACAGCCATCTTACACTTGTATTGCACCAATATAACACCATTATTATACCCATGTTACACTGTTATCCGACTCCTATTACACCCATGTAACACCAATATAACACCCACATTACACTGTTTTAAGACCAATATTACAAATATGTAAAACCAATATAACACCGTAATTACACACCCCTAGTATACCCATGTAACACCAATATTAACCCCATATCACACCATAATTACACTGTTATTACACCCATTTTAAACATGGACACAGCCTGTCAAATAAATGTATTGCCCAGGACACAGAAACCATTTAAGTGTTAATACATGCACGTAGATTTCAAGCCAAGGGTAAACAACAAGATACATGTGTGTATACAGATAAATTAAATTAGAAATAAAAACACACTTTATCTCTATAACGTGGTGTAATGTATCTTTTAATTACACAGGTGGCCTTCCCGCCTCCCTGATATTAAATTAAGATGAAGTGAGATAAAATTGACAAAATCTACGCCTCAAAGGATTGGTGAAGTGTACTGGAGGAGTCTGCCAGTGAAAGTGAGTGATGATGCTATACGATTCATATCTGGGATCTGAGAGGGACTCTGGGGCTAAAGATGACAGCGCTCATTGGAACTGACAAAAGAGAAACACCGGCAGAACTGTCATCCGCCCTACTTCTGCAGCTCTTTCTGTGCTTTCTCAGGTAAATGGCTGCAGGGTGGATGGTGAGGGAGAAGCGCATCAGGGCAGCTTAACAGAGCAGCTTAACAGAGCAGCTCATGGATGGGATTTATCTTTTTCAAATCCGCGTCTCCCACAAGCAGAAAGGTTTTCATATACTGCCTCACCGGTGGCTTCTCATAAATGATTACCTAATTTACTTGCAAAAAAACCTCAAATTGGAAGTCTCACTGATTCTAGACAACAGGGCCTCAGGTGGCGCTGCCGTATTTTCGTTTATGTACCGGCTCTATGCTTTTATTGTCACTGCAACTGGGCTTGAGGGATCTATTGAAAGCTTATCTCAGGTATACATTTGTTTTTAAATAGAGGAGAGTGCGGAAAGCCTGAATGTGTTGTGTCTATTATGCTCCGGGATTGTTTGGCAGATGGAAGCGGTGACACAGACAATAGTCGCCGAGGTCACTAGAAAGGTCTCGCACGCTGTCATGTGG